GAATTACAGGCATGCGCTACCACGCCCAGTTGATTTTTTGATTTATTGTAGAGATGAGGTGTCGCTGCCCAGGCGGATCTTGAACCCGCGAGCTCAGGCAATTCACTCACCTTAGCCTCCCATAGGCGCGGGATTACAGACTGTGCCACCGAGCCCAGCTGTATTTTTATTATTTAGAGTAAATTTATTTTCTAGTTTATTTATTAATTCATTCAATATCCCTTAAATTTTTGACTCTTAGATACCATAAACAATATGCATTTCTCTCTCTCTCTCTCTCTCTCTCTCTCTCTCTCTCTCTCTCTCTCTCTCTGTGTGTGTGTGTGTGTGTGTGTGTGTGTGTGTGTGTGTGTGTTTGGAAATCTCTGCATTCAGTCTTTGCCATATAGCAATCTGGGAGGTGTCTTTAAACTAATAGATTCCTGATGCCACGTTCTACCTTGGAAGCTGTGCCTACTTTCCGCTATTTTTCTGATAATGTACTTTTATGTAAGCAGTAAGCACTAAAAAACATGGTGGGGCTTTTTTATAGCTTTCTTTCTTTACATTTAGGGGTATGTAAATGTCTATTAACTCATATAATGCAGCACCAAAGCATCCAGGATCCAGAAGGTATGGATTTCCTGTCTTTACTCGATTGTGTCTTCATTCTGGTTCTTGTCTAGATAAATATCTATGCATACATAAATAACTTTGTGTATGTAAGTATGAATGTATGTATTCACTTTGGCATGGTTATTTTATTTTTAATTTTACCTTTATACATTATCATCTATAATTGCCTTGTCTGTGAAGCAAGGACCATCTGCTTTTAATAGTTTTACATATGATACCATAAATTCTCCCAAGGCTACTAAGTTGGCATTGCAAATAGCAATTAATGGACATAAAAACTGAGGCTCAGGAGATTAAGCGGTTTAACCTATGTAGAACCCCCAAGTCTGTTTAATAAAGCACATATTTTCAGCTCTGCACTGATAGTCCCTTTTCAGAGAATTACTATTTGTTTCTTATCCATTATAATTTAATTCTGTGTTATTTATAATTTACTCAAAACTCCAAAATTATAAAATATTCTTACAAATAAATGTAAATATCTTTACAACTATAAAGCTACCCACAGAATTCTCACATTTAAGATAGTGTAGCTCATTTAAACGTTTATTTGTATGGCTAAAATAAATATTGAAAAATGTACACACAAACCCTTTTAAAAGTGTGCACATATTTTTAGGAGAATACCTTATATGTGAGTTCCAACACTGGTAATGTTGTCATGATACTGAATTAAGATATTTTAAATATAATTGTTAATTAAATCTACAAATTCCTGATATAATAATCTTGTATGAAGAACTTTTAGTTATAAATATTGGTCTCTGTTGTGTGTTTAAAATTTTTTTTTCTTTTGTTTTAGAACTGTGAGGTACATAAAATGAGAGTATCAACAACAATAAAATTCTCCCATTTTTCTAAAATAATTTCAGCACTAAGCCTGTCAAATAACCTGAATTTAACACATTTTTATGGCTAAGTCAAATTTTCACTGATGATGATAAATTTCATCAAATTTAAGTTATTTTAGAAACATAAAATAAAATTGTTATTTGAATAGACAAAAAAGTATGTGCATCCACATGTTATTTCACTCTACTAAGATAGTAAATTAAATGACCTTCACCAAATTATGTAATTATTAATATGGACAAATTGTTTATTAATTTACAGGTTTCACATAATGAGTTATATTACATATATTTGGGTTGTAAGATAAGACATTCAAATGTAAGTGAATGTACAATAGTTAAATACAATTTGTCTTGCACAAATTTATAGGTATTTCTGCAAGTAAAGCTGATATTGGGATACTTAAAAAGGGCGAGACCATTAAGCTTTGTATATTCATATGGCCCTTGTTATCGTTGCAGGGGCATTTTAATACCTTGTTATATTTAAAGTAGCCTAGGGATAATGGGAAAAATGCTTTTAGCAGGTTGTCATTTAATGACTTACATTTGAAAATGTTTCTCCTAGAAGTGTACAGAGAGGGAATTAAAAGTTTACTTCAAAATGCACATGCTGTTGTTTCCTTCTTGTGATTCCGAGGCAAGTGTTAAATCCCAAATAACAGCATATTCAGATAAACATGATCAAAGATATTTTGAGGAAGGAGAAGGTTGATGCTAATCAGAAAATTGCACACGCTGACTGGCTTTATGTTTCCCTAAGATATGAAGAATGACTTGTACACAACCTTGAGGGATCTACCAACTAGGATATCTAAATAACGATGAATCTTCCGTGGTTACTAAATTATGGGATTCTTTCTTCCTCATATAACACAGGCGGTTAAACAAAAATGATTCAAAATTTCCACAATATTCTATATACTTATGCACATCAACCACACATAACTTGGAAAATGTTCATAATAGTAGGAGAAAATATAATTTGTACAGCACATCTTGATAGGCTTGCTAATGCAAGATGATTTCAAGCATTGCATTTCCTTTTGTGACTGTCTCTAGGATATATTTTCATTTTTCCTAATTTAAATATTTTCTACCTCCCAGCAGTTGCAGTAGCTCTCATAAATAAGTTTGTCAGCTAAGATTTCTCTTAAAATTTGCCCAAGAGCATATTACATGTACATTTCTTGTTTAAAGGGATGCTTCTGAATAAATTCAATGAAAGATATTTGTACATATGGCTCAATTTTAAATACAAGCTATTCACGGATCATAAGACATTAACATCAAACTGACTTTGAATGCTGATTTGCAAGCTGTTCGTGGGCATATAAGAATAAAGCAAAACTTATTAGGCCTATTCCATATCAACTCAAAGCAGAAACCACGTAGATGAAAAATATATGTATTTTTGTTCACCTTCATTATCCTTAAGAGTGAAGTTTGGATTTAAGGGCAGGCGTTCATCAAGAAAGAAGTTAAACCTTGGTCCATTGGCAAAATCATCCTTATCAGTGGCACTGATGGTATGAATAACCTAAAGAAAAGACAAATACTAAATAGTAAGTTTAATTTTGTTTATTCCTGTATTTTTCATTACACTGTATTGTTTCCAACTAGTAAAAATAAAATAATTTTTAAAAGATCCCCTTATCCAACTTGGGTTTTCCAAATTCAACTAATAAAAGCACTCATTAAATTGCTTTTATTTTTTTCATTAGCTGTTAGGAAAAATATGACACCATTTATAAGCATTCATACTTTATTTTCTAGCATTCCACAAACATTATTGTTTTCTTTATTACCCACAGTACTGTTGGGTCAATTTGTTGAAAGATTTTTGCACAAAATAATCTTGTTTCGGGGAGACATAATGTATTATTTGCACCCATATAAATATCCCAGCGTTGATGCAGAACAGCCTTGCAGAGTATGTTGGTTTCAGTCAGTAAATGCAAGAGCAGTGGAGTCTGACTTTTATTCTTCTTTGAAGAGACCTTTGAGATTATGATCCATCCCCTGTATTTTACAGATGAGGAACCTGAGTCCTGGAAGGATTGTGATGTGCCCCAAATCACTAAAATAGTGGCAGAGGTAAAGCCAGGCCCCTCAGTGATTTATGAATAACTTTTCATCTCTAGTGGTCTAGAGAAAGCAATTCTAAAATCTGGATTTAATGCACATTAGGAAGCAAAGTTAGAATACATAAATAAAATATTCCAGGTGGTGCAAGAGCAGAACAAAACTTTCACTAGCTATGGCCATTGTACTCTTCAAAAGATAAATGTTGAAGTAAACAAGCAAAACAATATTGTTGTCTATTAAGAATCATCAACCTAGCGTTAAGGTGTCTTTACAGCTATTTCTTAGAGAAGTTATAAACAAAGAACAGGAAGAAAAGAAGGTTAAAAGTAGTATTTTCTTTTTGTGAAATACAATGTATCCACTTCAAAACTGATACAGTTTCTTACAACTTTTTATCAAATTTCACCCAATTTCAATATTTTGCAAGGGACATAATTCAAAAAAGGATAGCACATCTAATGGAATTCCTCTTCATATGCGAACTAATTAGTTGATTGGGGAGATGAGGAGAGATACAAAAGTATTGAGGAGGAAGTGATGAGTGAGAGTAAAACCAGAAAAGCGTGTTTTCATGAAGTGACAGTGAAGAAGGTACTTTAGGATACAGAGGTGATCAGCCTTCTCCATAAGTTCGCAGGGCTCACTCCTTCACATCCTCTCCTCCTTCACCTTCCAAAGGTGATGTCCCTCACCCTCCACCTCAGAGAACTCTCTATCCTTATCTCTTTTCCTCCATACAGTATTTATAAGCCAAACATCTCGCATTTCCATATTGTGTGTTTTCTTCTTTCGTTTAACATACAATTAGTCTCTGGATAGTTCTTTTCCCCTGGCTTTGGCTTTTGACTTGGAATAGGAAGCTGCACTGATGGATAATCGGAAGCAATGCGATCATTTTTCTCAAGTGTACAGAAAGCTGCAAATTGAGCTCAGAGTGCTGCATCATCTGAGGAACATATCTATATTCTCTACACATCAGTTACTTAACAAAAAATTAAAACAAAAACAGTATCAAATTTTCACTTCATATTCAGAGTTAAATAAATCTGAGTATTTAAGCAGGCAACAACAAACTCCCCACTCACCACCATGTATAAACTAAGTTACCTCTCTTTTTTTTTCTTGTCTTTCTGGTAAAAAAAAAAAAAAATGTTTTCTCACCCTGCTCATCTTTTTTTGGGCTTCTCCAGCTTGCTATCTTATCGACTCTATGATACTTCCTAGCATACTGACACATTTGCTAGTTTACTTCCTATCCCAGAATATAATTTGGAAGGGGATTCATAGAGAACAATTCACTTAAATCAGCAAGGTATTTTATGCTTCCTGATATCACCTCTGTGGGATTATTATTTTCCTTTCTATTCATTTTAAAGTTAATCAAGTATTTTGATGTTTTCTTAATATTGTTGCAAACATGATCTTATTATATTTGTTAAACTTTGATATGATTCATAGCTTGTGGTGCTACTTTTTATCATCTTTCAAGAATGTCTTTTCCATTCATATAGGTTATTTCAAATCTGAAGTTAATAGGAAACTCACCTATGGAAAATTTGCTTTTCTTAGAGAGAAACTGCCAGTCACATCTATATAGCAAACGATGAGTTGATTATCATATTTTGTTTAACAGTGCCCCAGTCATGTTGAACTCTTATAGAATTGATGATCATGCATCTGTGCTTAAATTTTTATTCATATTTCTGAAAAGTGCTTTCAAACCTAAAATGTTGGCCTACTTTTGTCAAGAATTCTTTCAAATCAATTTTCCTGATTTGAGATGGCATATTTAATTTTTTTCTTTTACCTTTCATCAGAAAATAAAATTTACATTCATTGCTACCTCAGATAATCATTGGAAAACATACCTGAGATGTTAATATGCTTATGGTTTTCAAAAGATTTCAACTTCTGGTAGACATCTCGATAATTGCTCCATAATCAATATTTTCTCCACCTTTGTTACAGCTGTGATTTATATATATTGTGTGGGCTGTGCTCTGTTTGTGCAATTGGTTGGTAATGTAAAAACCCCTAACAATTTAGTTTGGGTTCTTATTTTTTCTTTATTTTTTTAGAAAGCATGATTTATTAAGAGTACAGAAAATCTCCCACAGTGGGAGTGGACCTGAGGGGGTTGCCTGATTCTCATTTTTTTGGAAGATATAACAGAAATAATTTTAGTCTACCTTTCATAAGCAAAGGAGGAAAAAAGCAAACTGACAGTTGGTGTTTATAAGTAAATTACCAAGAATTTTTACAAAGAATATCCACTAATAAACATATCTACTTTTTTTTTTTTTTTTTTTTTTTTTTTTTTTTT